GCACGGGTGTTAAACTAGTTCTTCTAAAAGAAGCAATAACCTAGTCAAATGAACCCCGTATCTTGTACGGATTATCCGTCACAAAAATTTAATTTGCAAGAAAGTAGTAGCATTTTTAAATAGATTTTTAGTAAATTTTAATATAAAAATGATAAAATGTGTTGTTCAAAAATTTTAGTAAATTTTAACTTGCAAAAAATTGCTTTTTTTTATAAAAAATAATATAATATTCTTTTATAATTTGTACTTCTTCAGAAGTGATAATATAACATTTTTTTGGAATATTTCAAAATAATATTCTTCTAAATAGGAATGATCTACTAAGAACTAGTACTTATGTTTAGTATCGATGATGCTTCATATAAATTTATTGGTGAATTTTAAACTTAATTCAAATGTTGAGATTAAATCATATGATATTTTTCATAAAGTAGCACAAGATAATATTCCTAGAGAATTGAAACTTTTAAATTTATGCTCTTCAGGAGCAATAATATAATATTTTTTAATCATTTTTAAATAATTTATTTAAATTTACTTATCATTTAATGACATGTTAATGTCATCTAAATTGGTCTCTCTGGGACTAAATAGCATTATTATTTTCCTAATATACTTTTACTCAAAATATAATTTGAATAACAAGACAACTTAAACCCGTGTTTGACAATCATTAAAACAATTTTTTTTAAAAACTCATTTTCAATCACATATTTTCATAATAAAATATTCTACATATAAATTTTAAAAAAAATGACTTTTAGACCACACATTCTCTAAAATATCAATATTTCAAAACTCATTTTTCTCGAAAACTCATTTTAATAGTTGTCAAATATAATGATACATTAGAAAATTAAGAAATTAAATATACTCTCAACAAGAAAAATGACCTATAACTTGGAACAAACAAAAAAGGAAAACAAATATATCATTATGGACAGAGGGAGTAGCATAAATTCACCCAACGCTACTGGCAGAGCTCATCTTGTTTTTCCTTTTTCATTAAAGCTACAGTTTGCACGAAACCTTGGAATACAACATTCTGCAGGCTTCAAGGATTTGTCCTCCGCTCTTATAAAAGCAACATTGGGAGTTCTTTCGCTGCTGTACCCAGAGTCAGCACCAGAAGCATAAGGGGTTCCACTAGAAGATTTTGATGGTGGGATGAAGTTTGCCTCGGCTTTGGTTTTCTAATGAACCCCATTTTTGTTGCCTGCAGCATTTGGCTCATCTTCTTCATGATCAACTCGTATCCTCTCTTGAAAGAGTTCAGAAAGTCTCCTTTTCTCATCTGAAGGAGATTCTTCAAGTATTGAATTCGGGGTTCCCTCTGGTACGAGATCCCTATTCACCGGAGTGCTTCCACGAGATGAGGCAAAATCTGCATTTAGATCAACAGAGGAACTCATCAAAATGTAGTGAGAAAAGATACAATCTTGGCATGCCATTGAGTACATTTCCATCAAGATTCCTCGTAGATATTGATGTGGCAGTTGTTGGAAAAAAGTTTTTCATAATTAGGCTCGTTGCATTCCTCCTTGTTTCTAACTTTAAGGTTCCAGAAACAACAGAATCAATGTTTACCACATTACAAAAGCTAGCTTTGTACCAGTTGTCAATGCCAACTTGCTTATTAGCCGATCAACTGAACAAAAAATCTAGGATCCACCACCTGTTTTCACACATATTGGTGGTCAGTGGAGTATTGAGAACGTGTTTTAGTATTTAATTACCACCCTTGACACTAAAGAAATCACCGTCACAGTCGGACTCTAACCAAGGTTGGGAATTAAAGAAGGTTTCCTCTTCACTACCTGCAAGAAATTGAAATGCCTCAGATACAATCACATATCACAATTAACAAATGATTAACATGGTGCAACATGATCGTGCTATAATCATGCAATGAAATATATCAGAAAACTGATTGTGTTGGAATATGGCCATGTAATTAAAATGCTGTGGATACCACTATTGTCTTATGAATCTGCCTTTTTCATTCTTAGAGTGAGCGCTACGAATTCGGTCGTACTGGTTGCTAAGATGAGTTAATTTGTTGAATACAATTGTCCAAAGGATAACTAAGAATAAGCACAATGCTAGATGGTTTAGAAGGAAGCAATGCTAGATGGGGGTTAATTTCTTTCATCTCCTTCAATCGTTACTCCCTTTCATTAGGCCTTGAATGATTACTCACCATATTTGTCATCATCCTCTTAAGAGCCTGGTCCATGCCTCGGAGTCTGGCAATTAGAAAGTGAAAATGACTACTCAAGTTTTGTAGCATCTGGCTCGATAAATCATCAATGCATGGAAAGATAGGCCACTTGATACGAAGGCTGGAACTTACTAACATATTCCCACAAGCCATACGATTGTTAGATTTGAACTCACTACATGATTAAAATCTCCAATCTAGAAAGCAGGGAAGGGGGTTGTTGAACTCTTATTATCCGAGTAAGGAAAATGCTTAGAACCAACCCATACTGTGCCAGGTTTAATGAAGGATCATTTTCATTTCATAACAAATTCACCTAAAAGGGAATTTGAGGTGATTTTAGCTTACGTTTCAACTCCAATTTTTTTTTTTTGAGAATACGTGAGTAAAATTAAGTAAAATTTTTGGATCTATATGTAAAATTATTTTATTAGGAGCCATGGGCGGACGCAGGGGGTGGCATGGGGGGTCACGTGACCTCCCAACTTTGCTCTCTATTTTTTCACCATTAAATTTTCTATGTTTTTGTTTCAATTTTTGAAGTCATTATGGGATGTGAAACGAAATCGAAATATTGCATTCTTAATATCATTTCTAAGTGCTCACGGTTTAGTTTTCTATATCATTAATGGCGTTCGAAACGATCAATCGTAGCAAATGTTAAGACTTGTCAAAGAAGGTCGTTTAACATGCTAACTTTAAAAATTTTCTGACGATCGTACATTAATCGATTCTACAAATTGCTTATATTATCTCAAAACTTATTTTGACAACTATTTCATAGGCATATCGAATAGTTCAAACAGATATGGAAAATAGTTAAAAATGCAATAAACGTGAGTCTTAAATAAAGGCTTTTAACTCGCATTTTTTTAAAAAAATTCAATTATTTCATTAACATTTATTATTTTTGCGATACAAATTTCTCAATATAATTTTATCATTTTATTATGAAATTTTATATTCAATATGAATAAAAAAATTTCGAAACTTTACATTCGAAAAAATCGTATCCCATGTAAATTTTCGGATGCAAAATTATATGAGGTATGATTTTTTTGGACGTAAATCTTCAATTGTAAAATTTCTCGTAACTTCTTTACTAATTCGATTGGCCCCTAACTTTAAAGTTCTGCATTTACCTATGTTAGTAGAATACATTGAAAAAGAACAAAATTACAGGCATCAGATACAAAGAATTGAAGGGGGAAAGATAATCAAAACAAATAGATTAATAAAAGTATACAATAAAAAGTGGTGAGTTGAAGAATCTACAAATAACCATAGCAACAAATTCTCACAAAAATAATAAATAAAAAAAGATGGAAAATCGTTCCAGAGTCACGAAAAGTGGTGGTGGGAGGAGCCGGTGACCACTGAGACTTGGGAGCCACGTTAGCAATCGTGCTCTCACCTCCGGTAACCGCAGCAGTCTTCTCTTTGACGGGCGATGGCACCACAAACTTGTCATTTTTCGACCCCATGATAGATGGAGCTTAATAGCAGATAATTTTCGACTTTTGTGAACCGAAGCACACGAACCCATTTCTTCAACAAAACCAACACACCAATATATATTTATATTTTTATAATTCTATACATATATCATCAACATCTCAAGCAGGAAAAGATTTTATACAAATTTCTTTTCTTCAAAAACACACTTTGGTAGATAGAGAAATTGAAGTGAGCATGAGCCATAAGGAGAAGAATTAAGAAACCATTGGCAGTGACAGTGAATAGGAAAAAACAGTAGAAGGAGGGGACCTTAATAATGCAAAAGGTTGAATGAATTATTGTAGTTTATTATTATTAGGGTTCTTGAATCTTGTTCAGCGACAGGCTACAGCAAAAGACTTTTCGTAATGCTCAAACGTTGTATGTTGCATGCTTTAATGCTGTTGTAGAGTTGAAGGATACAACAACATTCAAAGACCGTTAGAAAACGACGTCAGTGAACGTTACCATTTATTTTATGCAATGTTCATTAACTATTGCGAAAAAATTATTTAAAAAGCTTTTTTAAATATTGTCTAAACTTTTGTGTTCAACTTTTTGTAACGTTCATTGAATGTTAAGAAGAACTTATTTAAATTTTACTTCCGTTTACAATAAACGTGTCATGCGAAAGTCCACGGCCAAGTCCCAACCCATTCCCATTACTTTGATTTTTCAATGCGTGGATTAGTAGGTGGAAATAAAAATATTAACGACTCCAAGCTATGCCAACTTATTTATTATACATCATAATCAAGTGATATGTAACTAGGTGAAATTTCTTCAGCGACTCATTCTTCTACAGAAGGACATCATGTTTATCCATAGCCACCAATTAGAATGACCAGATTTTCAAAAAAATAAAATTAATAAGGGACAAGTATGCAGTTGTTTCTAACCTGATTCCATTAGAAAAATCAACAAACAGCTACAATGTTTTGACCTTGATTTGTGTGCACCGTCTTATTAGAAGATATATGATTGGATGTTGAGTTCGCCAGTTAGACCATCATTTCATATAGGATGTAGCATGTAACCTAAATCATGATTACATGATGCCCAAACAATCATTACCTTCATCTGATTAGTAGGAGATGTGGTGCGAATCAAAAGTAACATTATCTTCTCTGATTAGCTGTTGTGGAATTGTCAACGTAACTAAGGAACACTTTTTCAGTTTGATCATAATGATTTTTATATTGCGACGAACTCGTGACCAATCTGATTGGGATGGACTCCATGGTTTAACCTTCTATCATGATCCTAGAGATCTCATACCTAGGCCCTTTTAATCACTTTTAGTGGGTCGATGGTTGTACCTAAAATCGAACACCAACAAACCCTAATTATCTATAAATGGCCTATTTGATTTTCATTAATTGAGAAAAAAATGAGTTTTGAATAGTATTTTTAAGAGAATATGTTGTTAAAAAGTAGAGAAAATTTTTTGGTATACATGTAGAATATTTTATTATATAAATATGTAGTTAAAAATAATCATGTAGCAAACCATAAAATAAAATAATGATTGTCAAACAGGCACTAAATCATGCATTGGAATATTTTTTAAGAATACTTCTTTTTTATAGAAAATTTGTATTAAATATTGAACGAGATTTGTTTATGATTTTTTTTCTTATAAAAGAGTTTCATATTGCTCTCCCCTTGGTCTTGAAGATGCCGCATTTCCTTTTGAAGAAGATTCTAGAATATTTTGGATGCTTCATATTCATCTATCAATTTTTGAAATTGAGAAAAGAAGATTCTGGACTGGCTGCTGAATAATCTCCACTGCCATTCATGAAAAAATATCTGGACAATCTAGAAAATTCCTCCACTGTCATTAGCACCTATATACGTAAAAAAAAATAATAATAAAGGATGAACCGCATCTTTGGTGGCTCCCACCTGCCCTGCTTTGCTCTGGGTCTTGGTGAAAGAGGTAAATCGCAGGTTATGTCTTTAAGGGTACAGGATTAAAGGCTGCTTATACACTTGCAATTATCCAAGAGCTAAATTCATATTTCAGGATTCGAACCCTTGACGCGATAGCCTCAAGTAAAACTAGAATTTTTTCACATTTTCCTTTTATCACTTTCAGATGTGCCCTGGGGGCACACCTATATATGTATGTTTGATGTATTTGTGTGCGCAAGAGTAAGAAGAAAGAAAGTGAAGTAGAGAGAGGTAGCATACATACGAGAGATAGTGAGTGGAGAGATGGTGGAGAATTCTTCTTTTTCCAAAAATAATAGTAAGGTGCGTTTGTTATATAAATTGTATTAAGTGTCATTTTTTGTAATAAAAGAGAAGTGCATCAAACTCAACAATTTGTATCAGAACAAGGTGATAGGAGGACGAATTTTCGAGTTTTTTTAGTACATGTATAAAGGGGGATTGTGAAACTTATATAAAATGAAGAAACTCAACAACCAAAATTATATCACATGGGAAACTTGCTTGGAGTCGTATCTCCAAGAGCAAGACTTGTGGAAAGTAGTTGATGAAAGTGACGTGACATCGCCAAAGAAGCTACGGCTCTAAAACAGTGGAGAATCAAAGCGGCAAGATTATGTTCGCTAGAAAGACGACAGTAGAGGAAGAGTTATGAGAGCACATAAAAGACAGACCACACCCAATGAAGCATGGAACACTTTAGTCACACTATTCTCAAAGAAAATTGATATGAGATTCAACTTCTGGAAAACGAGTTTCTCTCGATCATTCAAGGAGGACTGACGGTAAGCCAATATTTTAACAAAGTAAAAACTATTTTGTCGCGAAATTTCAAAATTAGATTCTTTGAGTTAAATTTCGAAATCTAGAATAAGATAAATAATCATACATGATTGGAGACCCGAATTTAAAAGTTTCATTGTCGTAATACAAGGTTAGTTAGATCAATCTTCATTAGTCAATCTCAAAAATTTGTTGGCCGATCAAGAAACGTTGACAAGGCAAATGTTAGAGATCTCAATAAAGAAATAAGAAGCATTATTTAGCAATAAAAAAAGGTCAATCCTGTCAACAAAATAATAAAAAATTAAAAGAAAATAAATCTAAAGGACGGATTGATGGAAACTATTAGACAAGGGGAGCTCATCAAGATTGAGATAAGAGAGACCAACTAGCTAAGGAATATCAACGAACTGATGGCTCGTGCTTCGTATGTGGAAAATGAGATAATTATGCTATAGATTGTTGATTTAAAAAGGAGCCAATAGAAGACAATGTAACAACTTCCAACAAAGAAGAAAAGGACAACAGCGAAGATGATTAAGATGTCGAAGCATTTACAATAATAATTGAGCTTGCTCAAGAAAAGAAAATCAATTCAAGTATAAAGGACGAATCAGCTAATCTTGCTTGAACAAATTAATTATGAAAATGATTGGATCGATGGCTATGGAGAGAACATTGAGATTCATGAAGAGTCTTCTTGGTGGACTCCGCAGAGAGAGGAATTAATAGACTCAGAAGAAGTGTTTGAATAAGCATATTTTGGGAGAACTGCTGAGGGTGGAGCTATTGGATTTAAAGGAAACGAAAGATAAATTGCAAGAGGAGATTACAAAAGCACGACAATGAAGCCTTAAGGAATCTAAAGATCTAAACGTGTTAATAAAGAAGAGCTTATTAGAGCAAGATAGAGTTATTCACAAAATGATGCGCACCTAGAAATGCTAGCGAAGGATCGACAAAGTCAACAAGTGATCGAGGTACGTACAAGTTTACAGTCATAAATAAAAAAGTCAAGTAAAGATGAGAAATCAAAAATCAAGCATTCTAATATAGAAATAGATGAAGAGAAAACTACAAAAGAGTCATACATATTTAAAGTCGCAAATGCGTTGAATAAAGAATCAAGCACTTTAAAATTCGTAAGTTTCATGCTCACTGGACGTAACAAAAAAAAAAAGAGACAAAATGAAAAGAGGTAAACACAGCCTTTTGAAGAAGATTCCAGAATATTTTGGGTGCTTCATATTCACCTATTAATTTCTAGAATTGAGAAAAGAAGATTCTGAAATGGCTGCTGAATAATCTCCACCACCATTCATGAAAAAAATTAATCAAGAAAATTGGAAGACAAAATACAATATTTAAACTCTAGTGCAAACATATTAAAAGGAAAAAAAAAAAAAGAATAATAAGTGGATAAGAAAAATCTCAAACCAAATTACATAACACATAGAGAAACATTAGTTTAATTAAAACATTAATCAATACAATAACACTAAAATAGGAGAAAAAAATGGGCAAATAAAATGAAATGCAAGAATCTAGAGAGAAATGAATACTAATGTCTTTAGCAACAACTCTTTGAATAAATGTAAAACATATCACGAAAGCATTAGAAAAAATAACGGCCATAAATTTTGAAAGAGAAAATTGACATTTTATTTCTTGTTAAGAAAAAATGATGGTTGAAAAGATAAATGGTCACATTAATTATAAATATAGAACAAGTAATGGATGTGATATATTTATGTGATACATAAATGTGTGTGATAAATTTTATAACATGTGTATGATTTTTTTAAGAGATGTTTGTATATTTAAATTTTATTAGTTTCTTGTGTTTACATACAATAATTTTAATTTAAAGAATTTTGTAATTCTATTTTTTTGTTTTTCTTCAACCAAACAATTAACCTTACATAATTTGAAATTCTCGTTGAAGTGGGGCCTCAGGCGATTGCCAACGCCGCCAGCCATGAGTAGCGTACATATGAGAGATAGATAGAAGTGTCTTTTTTTTTTTGTAATAGAATAGAATAGAACTTTTATTGTGCTTCAAATTCCACAGGTATCTCCGGAGCAGTCATCAAATAGGAAGCGTTAGAACAAAATCTTAAATCCAAAGGAGAAAGAATGTCTAATTCTACAATACAATCAACGAATGATGATACATATACAGAAACTAAAACGACGATGAAACAAATTTAAGGTTAACACGACATCATAACCTTAAACTCATCAAAATTAAGCACCCCATCTCCGTTGAGATCAAAATGATTAATCATAACACTACAATCCTCAATGGTTCTGATCTCTCCTAATCTACTAAGCATCCTCTTCAAACTATTGGGTGTTATGCATCCACTCCCCTCCATTTCATAGAGCCTGAACGTCTTCTTTAAATCATCTGCCTTCTCTTCTTCTCCTACTCCAAATTCCACCAATTTCACGAAATCCTCAAAGCAAAGCAATCCATCACCATCCGAGTCAATCAAAACGACAGCCACCTCTGCGTCTGCCAACGACAACTCTCCTCCTCGGCCTAGTGATCCGACAACGTTAACACACTGCTGCAACTCCAAAGCCGATATTTTCCCGTCGCCATTCGCATCAAAATGATTAAACGCACGTTCGTATTGCTGGTGTTTGTCCATCAATGTCAAATTAAAGAATGAGTTTACTGATAGGAATTAATTTTAAGAGAAAGATAAATGGAATATGATTAGATGCATATATATATTGGTACTGATATACGGACGCGGAATGGAGAAAGTCAAAAAGGTTTTGGAAAGGCAGCTTCCAGAATGTTTGGCATCGCCAACCATGGAGTGTCTGGTATAGACTTGAAGACTTTGAAATAAGAGTTTACGCGGATTTTACCACCTGAAAGTGATGGATGTTCATGTATGCACATGTCATAGATGGATCATGGATGAGGAGTGGGTAGTATTAGACATTGGTGTGACATGGATGAGTAGGAGGATCAAGTTGGGAAGGTTATTTCGAAGGAAATATTTCCTGACTACTACGAAAAATCAAAATGACGAGTTAAAGATCGCTTATAGTATCAGAATATATAAAGAATTTGAGGAACAGTCTCGATCAATTTGATACTCACAAGTCTACATGAGTGGATTAAAAGTCGAGCCATTTTTAGAGGGGGTTAAGGACTGTAATTAAATAAAGACATCATGATATCAAGAATCTAGAATAATAGATGAATAGATGCTATTTGGCTAAGTAGTTTGACGATATCCTATATTGGGTTTGGTGGCAATAAAATTATTTGGTCACGTGGCAATAAAACATAATTGTTTACCCGGTCAACCATAAAGTTTGTGGGCTGAAGCCGAATTCGCTCATTACACCACAATGGTTTCTCACTAAAGATGTAATAGTAGTTAAATTTGGACTTCTCAACCACATTTTTAACAATAAATAAAATTCATATTTGCCGTCCAAGACACAATATTATTATTATTATTATTATTATTATTATTATTATTATTATTATTATTATTATTATTATTCTTAAATTGAAATATAACACCGATTATTTTTCAATAGTCACGTTCAATTAAAACTAATCATCGAAGTTGAGAAATTTATTAATTTTTTTTGTCATCAAGCTACAGAGAGGAAAAATATGTAATATTGAACAATACATACAGCCCGTCTAGCCTTGTCGGTAGAGCGCAAGGCTCTTAACCTTGTTGTGGTCACGGTGGGCGCATATCTTTTTGGCATTTTCCAGAACGTATTTTATTTTTGGGTCTGTAATATTCCATGTTCAAGAATTTGATTTTATAAAAGTGAAGATCTTTTAAATTAACTAGTCATTCATTGTTCATCCATACTTCCCGGATGAGTTGATATCCAAAAGCACTCACAAACGAGCCACTATCTTGCCGAAACATCTTATGAGTAAATCATCAAGCTACAGCATTACATCGGTAGTAGTTCCATATGATAAAGAACAAGAATATGAATGAGAAAAACTTCCTATTGCAAGTTTGTTTGCAAATGATATCTGAGAGGCTCTAATCAGTAATATCACCTATTTTCTAAGGTAAACACAGAATGAAAAATCAAAACAACATATACAATCTACACAATTACAAATATAATGAGAATAGCTAGTTGGTACATGGCCCATTCACCCCCACGAATGTGCTTCCTCATCAAGACATTGCAACAGGGTTCCACAGTGTAGGATAAAAATATTGGAGAATCAAAGTATAGATTAATCAAACCGAAGGTCAGTGTTCACACGGTTTCCTTAAATCGAATTCGCAGCCTCACCGGAGTGCAAGAGATATTGGTCGGTATTGGATTCCCAGGATACAATCGGTTGTCGGTTCCCGATGTAGGTGAAAATCAAAGTAAATCAAACCAAACCGAAGGCCTGTGTTTACACGGTTTCCTTAAATCGAATTCGCCGCCTCACCGGAGTGCAAGAGGTTTTGATCGGTGTTCGATTCCCAAGATACAATCGGTTGTCGGTTTCCGCTGCACTACGATACTGACCTACGAACAAGCTGTGATTCACTCTCAAAGAATTTAAGCAAAGGAAGAGGAAAAAACAAAATCACATGCTGCCGAAATGGAAAAGGAGGAAGCTGTTTTTTATTTTTTCTTTTGTTTGTGTTTCGTGTTTGGTGTGTTTTTCTTCCAACTATAAGCTCTTCTATTTATACTAGTGGAGGGAGAGCTGCACATAAATATATCAGTTACAGCATTGATGAACTTCAGACGGATGGCTGATTTTTATTGAAACTGAAAACTGATGCACTGATGAAATTGAATTCCATGAAACTGAAGACTGGTGAATTAATTTTGATTCATTAATTCATTATTTTCCAACACACAGAACAAACGAACATCATTGTGAAGGAATAGTTATCTCAATTGAAGTTCTGACTGTGACGTAGTATCTGATTTCTGATCTGAATCTGCAGTAGCCTGAACTTGAGCTGCATATTGTAGATTCCAAAGGACATCCTCAAATGAGGGCCGGCTTGAAGATTTGGGTAAAATACATTTATTGGTTAAGGATACCACAATTGACAACGACTCTTGTGAACTAGTGGATAACACAATTGGATCCACAATTTTGCGCCTACCATCTTGACTGCCAAAAGACGTCTGCATTTTGAAACCAATTATCAATATATAAAATGATGGCACTTGATTAGTTGCAGCATAATCTTTGATTTCAAAGTATAGCATTGGGAACTTTTAGCGCGTTGAGACTACCAAAGAACATTGGAATCGTGTTTAAAAAATGACGTCATACCATTTCATTAAGCAAAAATGCTTCTCCTCTTCCGCTTGCAATAGGACCCACAAGTGACTCGAGCAATATGAATCCAAAGTTGTAAACATCATTCTCTGACTTAGTCGAATGCCTGCAGCAAACAGTTTGATATATTAAAACTAGAAGATAGCTGAAGGAAAATTAATTTATCCCCAAGTACTACAATCTTGGAAATAGAACTATCATACTATGTGTACATAATTTGGGTACATGATGGTGTCTACAATGTGATGTGGACAAAATTCTGTTGTTGATGTGAAAGTGTGAAATTTAAATTAAAGGTTGGATCTAGTGTCACGTGTAATTATGGACACCATTATATGTAACATTATGTACTTGTAGCACTTTTCTAATAGAAATTGGGTAACCAGACACTGGCAGAGACAGAGAAGTACAAAAATATGAATGCTAGGTACTTGTTCATATGATCATATCACCAAACTGGTGAGGAATTTAAGAAAGTAGATAATGGGTAAAGCACAGAAGACAGACAACATTCTAACTTCATTTTGTAGATCAAGAACCTAGGAACAAACTTCATTTGATAATTTTCAGGCTCTAGTATGAATTGTCAACGACAGAGTTCAATAATCTCTGATATTAGCTTTTTTTTCCAAAAGCAAAAAAAAACCAATAAACCATTTAGAGCCCCAACTGAGAAAATTATTTCAAGTGGAAATTTCCTTACCATGATCTGGAGCCATCCCCCTTAGCCTGCAAAAAGGATATTAGATGTGTTAGGCATAGCTCTTGCAACCACTAATGTGGTCTAAATATCAAGGAAACATACTTCAGCCTTTTCAGTTTCATCTGTGATTATGGACATCCCGTAATCACTAAGCTTTGCAATCCGGTGCTCATCCAGGAGTACATTATTTGTCTTCAGTCGGTTGTGGTAACATGGGGGAATCACCCCAGTATGTAGAAAATGCACAGCCTTGGCAACACCAATAAGCACACCTAATCTATCCGACCACTTCAGAGCTTTCTCAGGACTAGTGTCTGCAGATACATATAATTGAATTCAAGCTCAGTGAAGTCCAATATATGGGAAAAAAAGCTTAAAGGATTTTCAAATGACAAAAAATGAACAGCAGAAGGTTCTTAAGATGACATGGAAATATAAACGTAAAGTTGGACTCAGTGACGTCCAGTTCTAGATATACATTAAGGATACATTGACTCTGAACCCATCACGGTAATTCTACTACCTGAAAGGTGAGCATGGAAGTTTCCATTAGGGACAAATTCGTACACGAGGAGCAATCTATGGACAGATGAATCTTCCTGCTTTCGACCATCAATGCAATGACCTAAAAGGCCTACAAGATGAGGATGCCGGAGCTTCGAGAGCAAATCCAAGCGTTGTTTGAGGTTCTGAATAGAATATTTTCTACATAAAGCCAAAGATCGTATAGCAACATAGGTTCCATTCTCTAATCTTCCTTTGTAAACCTGAAGTTAATGAGAACAAAATGTTAAGTAATGTTGTTCATAATTTAATATTAGTTTCATGTAGTTAATGTAAATTTAAAAAGTGAGAAGAAATTGTTAAATCTCTGATGTAAGTGGCACGTTTTATATGAAAGTTGTCTATCTGATTCGGGCAGCAATTGTCAATTTGACAGAAATTTCTATAAAAATAAGACCTCAGTTCATGGTTTTGGGAGTCAAATATCGTCCAATGTATACAATCAACACAGATAGTCATTTTTCATTGAGAAAATTCCTAAAAATGAATTGATAATTTTGCCCCTAACTATGTGCTGTATCACTGTAAATAGCCTGTCGTTGATTCTTCATGTTCTATAACATTTCAACTTTCACCGAGACATTGTTCCCGCTGGCCAATTTCATTGTTAAAGCATATCCTTCCACAACAGTATCCATTCATTTCTACATGGATTATCATTGTAGGCCTCTCATTATTCTCCGTGGAAAACTAGTATTAAATGCTTTTCATTCAAGAAATGTTAAACACAAATACCTTGCTAAGGAGACTGAGTGCATCATGCAATAAATATATTTGCAAAGAACTCGTTATTAAGAAAGGGCGGTTCAGAAAGTAAAATAGCATTTCTAGGGGTACCTTTCCCATAGAGCTCTCACCCAGGAAAGCTAACGGATCAAAATTGTCAGTGGCCTCTCCCAGTTCTTCAATGGAAAACACCCTATATGCTGGAGCACTCTGTGTCCCAAGTTTTGCCGCTTGAGAAATGATCCCTAAAGCAAACCAAAAAAATGTGTAAATGAATTTTAAGCAAAAAACTATTTCCTTGATAGGATCTATGATTAGCTTCTCTCGAAGAAATGCTGAAACATGCAGATATTTTGTCTGAATTTTAACTGAACTTACTGGCATTTGCAAGGAGTTCAGCGGAAATCCCTAGAGGCGAATCACCTTGCATGGTCTTTCGTGTAACGTGCTGAACCACTGTCCTCTCTGTATGGTGTCTTTTACAGAAAAGGAGCAGCCCAGCAACCAAGAGGAGTACAACAATAATAACAATCACCCCAATTACAGTGGCAAATATGGCTATTTTCTTTCCAGAAGACAGTCCTTTATCTTTGTCAGTGTTTTTGCAATATGACTCAGGATGCTGATTTCTGATATCAAACGAGAAGCAATTCCCACGAATCTTCACAACTCTCTTATCCGAATCAATGTCCAGGCAAGTTGGAAGCGCACCTATCAATCTGTTATCTGAAAGATCGACAAGACTAAGTGCGTCCCCACACTTGAGATGCTGCAGAAGTGAACCACTAAGCATGTTGGATGATAAGTTCAAGTAACTAATATTTGGCAAAGAGAACAACTCCGTAGGCGGCATTCCACCCAGATGATTGTTAGATAAATCTAGACGCTGAAGTTCATTCAATTCACCAAGTTGTTCAGGGATACTACCAGAAAATAAATTGTTGCTGAGAAAAATATTAGTCAGTCCTTTTGGAAGAGGAGGCAATTGGGAATCCAAATGGTTCTCTCTCATATCCAATAGTTGTAAATTAGACAAGCCACTCAAATCAGGCAATTTTCCAGAAAGCAAATTGTGTGACAAAACAACTTCGGTCAGTGTTTTTATTCTGGAGACTGTAGAAGGAATCTGGCCCGTCAACCTGTTGTTCTTTAAGCTTAAAACAGTGAGATTTGTTAGAGAATCAAGCCATTCGGGGATTGTATCATTGAAAAAATTCCCATCCAATCTAAAAGTCTGAAGCTTCACCATTCTAGACATCTTTGATGGAATCAAACCAAATATAAAATTCGAACTCATATCCAAAGCTTCAAGGGAATCTAACCGGTGAATTTTGTCAGGAAGAGGTCCCCAAATCCCCAGAGACACTAAGCTAAGAACCCTTAAGCTAGTTAACCTTGTCAATGTAGTGACCAAAGAATCAATAGAGAAACTCCGAGACAAAGTTTGATTTGGAATTGCGAATCCATTGAATTCACTGCCCTTAACTGAGTTATCTCCCATAATTCTGAGCTCGATAACAGAGTTGTTCTCACATTTGATGCTCATTTGTGGAGGGGAAGACAAATTACATAAATCGCCATTGTAATTTTCCCAATTAGCCAACGGCATTGGGTACTCCAAGTGCTTCCTCAGCTGGTGAAGAATTTGTGTTTCATAGCTTCTTAACTGATGGGTACTTGAAGCGAAGAAAATACATGAAAGAATCACCAATACAACTACATTTGAACACCTCATTTGCAAATTCCAATTAGAGAACCTTCAATTTCAAAGTTTGTGAACAAAACCCTAGAAAGATTGCAACTTCAATGGGCTACTGAGAACCAAAAACAGAACCATCAATCAGAAAGAGCTAAATTGACAAATTTCTGAAAGACCGTATTTAAGGTGGTAAAGCTCAATTAAAACGACATCAAAGCACTTGCTTCATTACTATTATTAGTGCACAAACACCGTTCAAACAGCATGAAATGTCTAAATACGAGACAAAATTCCGGAAATCGATGAAAAATTCAAAAGGAGAATTTAATGCAAGTGAATTTTGTTCAAGTAAATCACTGACAGCATCAAACTAGTCAAAAAACAATTAAAGAAGCCAGAGAAACAACCTTAAGCTACTCACCCGAAGAATGTTGGGTTTTTTAGGAGAAGAAAACAGATAAAAACGACCCACGAGACGAGACCCAGATATATTAGCTGCTTGAATAATAGAGACAAATCCTCGGGATAGATGTATAAATGTTCTGAGGTGATTTCTTGATGGAATCACAAGAAGTGGGCTAAACAATGGAGATATATTGGTGGTTGAAAAGAAGAAACTGACACTGGCAAAGCATTTACTGCAGCATGCATTCAAAAAGAAGAAGAAAGAGTAAAAAATGGCAATTATGAAGTGGAATTGCTGTAGCCGTTTGTCAGGCTTGCATTAATAGGGTCGGTTCTTATCACACAGACAAGAAATCGCCCTATCCAACCTGTGTAGTTTAGTAGATTTCTCTTATCTTCCTTGCTGGCAAGAAGATGACTTGAGGTGAATATAGAAAGGTCAATAGCCAAATGGAGAAGATGAATTGTTAGGCTAGGAATATTGAATAGCTGGATCTTGATTCTTTTTTATGATTTAAGCCTTTTATTATCCATCGTACTCGATTTCATCTGGTCTTTTAACTTCACTCTTCAATGTCAATATTGATAGTATATAGTGATTTAAATGTCTTGTTGGTCTTAATATGCACATAGAGAGCCACATAAGATCACGTGATGGATGAACCAATTGTTGTATCTTCTCCAAACGTGGATGCTTCGAAAAGATCGAAACATCATGCAATGTGCAAATTGCACGACCATGACAATGAATCAACAACAAAGTCTAATACATAACATAAATATTAAGTACGGACCACTAACCAAGTTGGGTTACCCTATTTGAAACCAATGTGACAAAATAAAAACCTCATGGACAATCGGAAGCCAAACCAGAGTGACAAAATATGAACATCTCAAGATTTCCATTCCCAATAGCTGCCCGAAATTAGAAGATCCTACAACTTTTTTTATAAAAGGGCAAAATTCTACTGATGCCATTGGACTTCATTGCATACATTTCCAATGAAAAATTCAAGAAACAATATGACAATCAAAAAGGCTAAAGAAACCGACCCAAAAATAGGGCTCTTGATTTGAATGGGCTATCCAAATCAACGCCCGAATGGAAGCCACATCAAGCCCCTGTTTTTGAGTCGGTCACCGACCTTGTGTGTATAGCAGAACTCTATGACAATTCTAAGATAACTCAGCAAGAGGACCAACTTCAAGTACATAATAACAACTTCAAAAGGTACAAATAAAACATGTGACTATGAAGAGTCTATCACCCTTTGAAAGAAGTCAGAAATACCTTAAACTTGAACATACACAAAAAATCATAAATTCCAGCAAAAAAGACTGTATTTCTCTCTCCCGCCCAACATTTCAATATTTGACCTGTCTTGATGCTACGGCCTTACATTTTAACAGAAACCAAACGGTGATGACACATTTATTGATAGCTAGTCCTTCAAAATTAATAGTCAATAATTATTTTGATCCCACCCACACATTTCACGGTTCCACTAGAAGTTTTCTCGGTCCCGTTTAGCATATTAATTGAGACATTCATTGTCTTGCTTTCTTGGGTGAAGGTAAGCTTTGTGAAGTTAGCAAAAAGATCTTGTTAATTACCCCATTAACAGCCACATAATAAATAAGCTGCTTATAAAGCTAGCCCCCTATAAAATCTTTACAGAAAGTCATTGGAAACTTGGAACTTTAGCTTTGAAGGGGAGGGCCCACCTACTCATCTGTGGTCCCGCTGTACAGTTTCTTCCACGCTGCCTGCGGGAACACACGAAATTTTTCAACTTATCTTTGATACTAATTGTTGAGAAATAAAACGGATCGACATAATATATATGATATAATATTTATGATCACAAACAAATAATAAGATAAAGACAAAATAATTTATTGGCAGAGAAATTGAGTATTTTATTCAATTGACTAATATGAAAAAAAAAAAACAAATACAATAATCGTGCCTACACAATTCTATATTTCAGTAATACAAAACTTGTGAAAATAATCTAGTATTTATAATGGTGAATATCAAACCATAGAAATACCACAAAGATAGAAACAAGATCAAAAATCACGTGGAATATAGGAAACAATATACGTCCCAATATTTTTCCAATAAAAACCCTGCAAAAAAGGAAAAAACCATTTTCTCAAAAAAAATCCAATCTAATTTGGGTAAAAAAAAATTCAATAATCTCTACCTTGACACAAATTCCGATGCAACAAACGAAGTTCCAAGATTTTTCCAACTGAAAAAATAAATTCGACTGCAACGAAAAAAATCGAACTCTTCAACAAGAACCAAACTTTCTCCAACACAAAAATATTCTTCATCTTTCATGATATCCAACATGGATACATAAACCCAAACACCAGGTTCCCCAAAATTCACAAAGAATTAGAAATTATCAAACAGTTTCAAAGTATACCCTGTAGCATAATCAACTTCTAATACTTTCATGGAAGGCCCTGACTAATATCAACACCTTCAAAAACGTTAAAAACATGTGCAACCGAATCAGCATCCTCATACCTATCTCCAATGATTCTATCCCTAGCAGTTGAATATGATGGAACTACAGGTAATGGTGGCAAAGCAAAATTACCCATATCATCTACACACGACTAAGTAGTATTCTTCAATATAGACCACGAACCAAATCACAAAGGTATAGTACCAAACTGAATCTCCACCACGGTACTAAAATCTATGTTGACTTTTCTTCACAAATTCTATCCAACCTTGCAAGATGTATAACTAAGGCATTTTTCGCCCCTACAATACAACACGAACACCCTTTTGAACTCTCAAGACTTCACCTCCTCTAGAGAACGTGTACCCTTTTGAATCAAGAATACTCAATGAAATGAGATTCTTCTTCAAGTCTGAAATTTGTCGAACGTAATCAAGTGTTCTACATGTTCCATCCATTGGCTTCAATCTGATTCTACCAATACCAGCTACCTGACAAGGTTCTTTGTTACTTATGACAACGACTTCTTCTGTTACCATTTCATCTGTTTAAAACAAATCCCGATTGGGACACATATAGAACGCATAAGCTGTATCCAAAATCTACTCCTCGTCAATTTTGGATTTCACTTCAGAAATCGTCAAAATATCTCCATCACTCAAATGGTTTTCAATTATGTTGATCTCGTCTGAAGTACTTGATTGCTTTCCATGATTTGCAGTTAAATTATATTTGTTTTGTAATTTGTCGCAATCTCTCTTAATGTGTCATTTCTTCTTGCTATAATAACAAACCTAATTACTGAAATTTGACATCGACTTATCTTTTCTCCTATCACCATGAACAACAATGCCTTCTCTGACCTCAAATCCAACCAGATGCTTTATCTTCTCTTTTATAAATAAGGCATCATGCGCATCTTCAAAGGTGAGAGTATCACTATTACACAATATCGTGTCTCTAAATGAAGTGAACACAAAAGGATTAATGCCAAATTTTCTTAATCATACTTTACCTCTAAAGTCTCCAAATCAGCGACGATCTCCTTGAACACATCCAAATGATCTTCCAAAGATCCGCTTTCAGCCATGCAATGAGAATACAACATCTGCTTCAGATGCAATTTGCTTGTTAAACTTTTAGACATGCACGATTGATCCAACGTCAACCACAACACAGCTAACTTTTTCTCCTTCAAAACGTCGTGGAAGAATGTTTTCAGAGAGATGAAGATGGATATGTGAAAGTACCTTTCGATCCTTCCATTTTTTCTCCTATGTCGTTCAGTTGTTGGCATTTTGTCAAATCTCAACAGCACATCATCAAAATCCATCTGTGCAAGTACAACTCGCATCTTCATTTGCCATAACGAAAATCTTGTATTACGATCCAAGAGCCGAATTCATACTTCAAAGCTGCTATCAATAACAAAAACCTCGAACAAATCGCAATCAATAGCTATGATACCATTTGTTGGGAAATAAAACTGATCGATGTAATCTATAAGACATGATATAAAGTATATGATCGCAAACAAACAACAAGATAAAATACAAAATAATTAATTGGCAGATGAACGGAGTATTTTATTTAATTGATTAATATGAAGAAAAAAAATACAATAATTATGCCTACACAATTATTCTATATTTCAGTAATACAAAACTTGTGAAAATAGTATAACATTTATAAAGGTGAATATCAAACCCTGGAAATACCACAAAAATGGAAATAAGATCAAAAATCACGTGAAATAAAGGAAACAATATCTTCTCAATATTTTTTCATTAAAAATACGTGCAAAGAAAAAAAAATCTAAAAAAAAAAATCATCCTAATTTAGGTAAAAAAACTCCAACACTAAAATTTTTAGATATTTTTTCATAATTTATTTATTTGTTTATTGTTGTTATGCAAATGATTTGCCGCTTCGAAACAGACATACCCATTCAACGGACACTTTTCCCCTTAAATATTGAGTATGTTGCCCATTTGCAGATATAAAGAATCTGATCTCCGCGTTGCGCGAAGCTGGCGTGGAGACTCCCGACTGCGCAACGCGAAGACACCAGTCTCCACGCACTCGGAGACCCCTCCGCCTTGCGCTGTGGTCTTGATCTCACTACCCTAAAAACCATACCTATAGTAATATATTATCCCAATGATTTCAAAGATGGATTGGAATGTGCATTGTGTCTTTCTGAGGTCTCACAAGGGGAAAAAATCAGGTTTTTGCCAAATTGCAAGCGTGGGTCTCATATGGATTGCATTGATATGTAGGTTCAATCTCATTCCACTTGTCCTCTTTGTCGAGACCTTTTTAGGAATGAAAATGAATCTGCATCGAATCCTAGTTGTCCTGAACAGACTGTAATTCAAACCCCAATTGAAGAAAATGCAGGCCAGCCACCAAAATTTCCCACAAATGTGTTGTTCTGGGGTAACGACACTCAAGTTAGTACATTTGAACCTTGTTTATAGGATAGTCATCAAGGCATTGCAATTGCTGCTCCGTTTCAACCCACTAGCTCGTCATCATTGGCATCGACAAGTAATAAGCCAGACGGAATGCTTGTGATTGACATTTCAAGACAGGTTAACGAAGAGGAAGATGAAAAATTGCATGTCCCTTCGCATTTGAGGTCGTTGAAAAGGCTTTTGAGTGGTAATATAAAGTTCAACCCTTGAAGTCCTAGAAATGCGGATATGGTACAAGGAAGTAGCAGTCAGAGTTGATATCCCCATCCAATGTCTTGTATGTAATTATGCACAAATTTTTCAGTAAGAGAGTATGATGCTGCAGTCGAAGGTCATCAAAGTCAATGGCCGTGATAGCTAAGGATGTCAATATCCCCCACTTCACATATTTATTTGTTCGATGTTTTTTGTTCTTGGTGAAGATGACATATATACAGCTTAGAAAACATATGGTTTTGTCTACACCTAGTTAGTTTCTCTATTTGAGGGCTCAATTTTTCTGTATAAGTTTAGTTTGTGTATGAAGAAGCAGGAATACAATTAAGTTCCATTTTTTCTTTCTCCTTTATTCTCAGAGACATAAGAAAAGTTAACAATTGTGGGCACGAGAAAATCCATATTACCCTTTTGCTTTAAAGCTTCGTGAATGGATGGTGGATGATGGATATGGATAAGATGAGGATAAAAAGTTGATAATAATTCTTCTTCAAGTTGATGCTAGAGAGAGTTTTAATTGACTTTATTTTTTATAAAAAAATGTCATTTCTAAATTCTTACTTTTTATAGTATTTGATTGATATTTTTTCATGAAAAATATTTTTCAAAAGTTGGTATTTTTAAATTTATTTTCTTTATGGGTGTGGGTTTTTATTTTCTATGCAGTTCACACTACCCAAAAACTCAACTTTATGAGAAAGTACAACATTTTCTAAGTAAAGTTAAGTCAATCAAATATATTTAATTAACAATTTTCATGCAAATAAATTATAAGCAATTCAATTGTTTAGAACTTATTTTGTTTTCATGCAAATTCTATAATTGCAATCAAATAAACAAATATTGTTTTTTATTTTCCATTCCTTGAAAAGTGCTGATCACTTTAAAATTTTATTTTTCTTTATCCATCAACTCCAAAACCATAATGAACGGGTCAGAACGGCAACATGTATATATATAAATATTGCCATCTTTTTCCATTTTAAAATGCTAATATTTGTTTGAAATTTGAATCGAGTGAGTGATTCAAATTTGTCACCACTTTAGCACCAAAATAAATAAATAAAAACAGCATCAATTCTAATAAACTATGTTAATCTTTTTGGGAAACTGTGAAATGATTCTGTGCATAAAAATGTATTTGGCTGGACAATTTTTTCAAGCTATTGGTGACAAATGCATGCGGCTAACAAAGCCAATTCATTGATAAGTTTTCGTGCAGGAAACTGCAATAGATATCCACTACTGTTTCTTCTTCCTGGGACAAACAAACGGACCAATGAAGGACTGTAATACGTAAAATGGACAAAAACAAAACGAAAAACTAAAAAGAACATTGCGTCATCTCCGAGTAGATAAAGTGCAAGAGGAACCTTGAAAGGATATCCTAGTGCAAGTCAAAAAGTCATATGGAACAAGGAATGAACGGACAAGCTTTGATTGAGGCGATGAAGCCTTGTACTAATGCTATGATACGTGCTCATATTTTGGTCATCTTCCTCACGACCCCCCAAAGAGCATGCTGAATTGAGATAGCAATGCAAATAGGTCAGCTGCTAAGATTAGAATAAAACAACTTAAAAGGAAAAATCACTTTCCCAGAAATGAATTAAAAGCAAATGAGCTCTGGACATCAGTAAAAGCAGAATTATTGTTCAAACCTAACAAGGTGAAACCAATAGTTGTTTAGAATTCAAGGAAGAAGAGTTCTCAATAAAAATTTAAATGGAATTATAATAAAAAAGGAAGGAACTATACCTTTCTCCAACTTATTGTCTTCAATTAAAGCTTCTCTTATCATTTGAAGCAGAGTTAACCCTTGAAGCTTTGAAGCCTTGAAGCTTTCAACACCTTGAAGCTTTGGCAGGTTCTCTATTTCAACTTCCTCCAACAAAAGTAGTATAAAGATATACGTCTTTTGGTGCACGATCTGGGAACATTAAAGAAGAGAAGAGGGTGCCTGCATGCAGAATTTTTTTTAGCAGAGATGAGCGGACTACTAATCCAACAGGTAATTTGCACATGCGGTCCTCAACTTTTGGACCTGGTAGCTCATTTATCCCCAACATTTTTCATGGAATTCAATTCCTTAACCTTCTGTTTTCGAAGCTGTTTCATCCTTTTACGTGGGAACTGTCCAAAAGTGACATTAAATTGATTTACAGATTTGCCCTTCAAGTCAAACAAGCAAAACAAACAAATATAAAGAGAAGAAAAGGAAAAAGACCCCACCCCAGACCTCTTCAATTCCCAACCCAACCCTCAGGGCGGACCCAGGAACGTTATTCGATGGGGACAAGACAAAATTATATAAAAATTATAGGTTAGAAACTTAAAATTATGGACTAAAAAACTATAAAGACTATTTTGCAAATGCCAAAAATTAAGGGCCCTTAATGGGTCCGCCCCCTGCCAACCCCCATCAAGTTCAGCCTTCCAGTCCCCTTATCTGCTTGGACTTGAGTTGCAGAGTTTGTAGCAGGGTAAAACGCAAAATCGTTCCGATTATTAGGATGCATTGGATAAGAGACAAATCAAAAAATATGCCCAAAAAGAGTGACGATGAGGACGTTGACGTTGATGACGATATGCCTGCTCCAAGATTTCCTCGTCTTCCGGTGGTAATGATTCTTGTGTTTCTACATTGTGTAGGGGTGGTGGCAAGGGCTTATTTGAGGTTGAGGGTAAAACTGTCTTTTCGTAGAATTTGGTGTCTGAGTTGGACAGTTTTCATCCAAAAGGATGAAACAGCACCAAAAATGGAAGGTTGGAGTTAAATACAAAATGTAGGCCACAAAACTGTGACTGGGACTAAAGGTTGGGGTCACGCATGCAAATTACCCTTATCTAACCTTGACAGACAAAAACCTAGTGTATTCAAACCAATTTGTTATTCTTTGAAAGGCACAGGAACTCCAAATCCTTCAAGGGGTTGCTTAACATTCTCCTCCTTGAAGGTAGTAACTATGATAGATAGTGGTAAATAACTAATCTGCATACATTAAGGACAAGATAAAAGCTATAAAATTTCAGAATGAAACACCAAATATAATAGTTATACTACTCAAAACACTTCCTTGCATGTAACAAGAGAAACAAGAGTACACCTAGGATCTATTCACGTCTTAATTTATAAATTAAGACACGGAACCCTTAAGGTGTTTGTAGACAAGTTGAACAATTTCATGCCTCGGGAATGAAGTCAAGCAAAAGAGGGCTTCCTCTTTTCATAATTGGCATACCTTTAACATCACGAAGGGGAGCTTAATTGGAAGAAATACAGAGTCAATAAACAATAACATCTCTATAGAATGAAATAAGATTTTTCTATATTTCTTGATTGAATTATACACACCTATTACACTTTATTTATAGTAAAACAATAAAAAGGAAAAAATAATATTCTAATTTAGGATAGAAGAAATTAGCCTAACATTTAAGTTAATTTATGAAAAGATTTGATTAATTATATATCAATCATGGTTAATCATACATCAATCATGATTAATCTCTAAGATTTTTACACTCCCCTAAAGTTGGATCATAGATATTGACCATAGCCAACTTGTAGATGAAATCATCAAAATTGTGCTTTGGTAATCATTTGGTGAAGATGTATGCAGTTTGCTCTTTTGTAGGAACATAGATCGTACAAATAACTATGTCTTCCACCTTTTTTTGATGAAATGTTTATCTATTTTTACATGCTTAGTTTGGTCATGTTGAACGGAGTTGAGAGAAATGTTGATGACAGCTTTGTTATCACAATAGAGTTTGACGGTAATCTTGTAGTGACCTGTAATTCTTCTACAAGTTTCTTTAACCACAATCATTCACATATTCCTTGTACAACAGTTGTAAACTCAGCCTCAACACTGTTTTTGGCTACTGCATTATGTTTCTTACTTCTCCAAATAACTAAGTTTACCCATACAAAAATGCAATATCCAGTAGTAGACCTTCTATTCTCAACTGAACCAGCCCAATCAGCTTCTGTAAACATATCCAATTCCCTTATTTCATATCTCTTGAAAAATAGACCTCTACTTGGAGTCCCCTTGAGATACCTTAGTATCTTGTACACAGCTTCTAGGTGAGCTTCTTTTGGCTAGTGTGTATGCTGACTTACCACACTTACAGTAAAGGCGATATCAAATCTAGTATGTGACAGATAGTTTAATTTACCAACAAGCCTCTAATACATTTCACTTTCAACTGATTTTCTTGCATTTTCCGTCCTTCTTTCGACTTTAATAGGTGTGTCACTCGACTTACAGCTAAGCATGCTCGTTTCAATTAAGAGGTCAATGACATATTTTCTCTGAGAAACACTGATCCCTTTCTTCGATCTAGCAATCTTCATTCCCAAGAAGTATCGCATTTGTTACATATCCTTAAGCCAAAATCAGGACAAGAACTGTGGTGAGAATTGGGGAAGCATTCTTTGAATCCACCTGAGGAAAAGAAGCAAACTGGGAGGCTAATAAAGTTGAGAAAAAGATCACAAAATGA